CAACATAACTCTCTTCTTTCTATAATCTATCCTGTCTAATCATCAAAACCATAAATCATAATTTTGTTTTTTTCTGCTTTACACAAAAAGTCCATAAGGGGTTTCCAGTCAGCAATAAGCATAGAGATTGTCTTTCCTCTGATCAAAGAATTCAGCCATCTCAGCAAGTTCCATCATCTTCACCAACCCTTCCTCCATTGCGGGTAGTGCCGAATCTTTCCATCTTTGTGTGTACAATATTCTCGCTGCAGTTATCATGTACAAGAAAGTTTCAGCTTCTTTATTTAAGCTTGCAGGTAAGTATGTTACAGCAAAGTAAAGAGTCACAGTATCAGAAGCATCTGAAGTTCCTGCCTACAATGACATAAATAACAACCCTGCACCCACAAGTCATAGGCCCAGTTAGGTGGCCAGCCCAAGTACCCAGCAAGAAACTTACACTGAGAGTAGAGACGCCCTTGGATTCGAAGACTGGAGCAGGGAAGAGTAATTGCAATCAGTGTGCCTGCTTGGACTACTGCCACTGTTAATAGGTAACTTTGAGGGACCTCTTCTGTCTTTTATGCTCTTGGATAGTCTTTCCCATTAGACGAAGGGACAGCTGAGACAAGTGTGAACCATGGGACTGGATGCGACTCAGCAGCAGTGTGGCCCAAACCCGCTCAGAACAGCGACACCTTTTATCCTCTGAGAGGCCCAGGATGCCAGGGTCCTTTGCCCTCCTGACTATCATAATCTTCCAAGATCCCTAGGTCCTGACTGGCCCTTCTTCCCAGATATTCTGGAAAATACCAATTTTCCAACACATGTCCATCAGTAGTTAAATATGAGAGGTCCAGCAATATTATTGTTCTGGTCCAGTTATTATTGTTCCAGCTCTGGTCCACCTGCTCATTTTATGTGATAGATCTGTTGTTGCCTCTGGTAGTGAACAAGTTGCACACTGCATAGCCAAATATAGCACCCTGACATATTGCTTGCATGCATATAATTGCCCACGCTGCCTTGCAAAACCAGAGCTCAGGTGCCTCCATCTTATCTCCCACACAAGGTACACAGCCAAAACTAGCAGGAGATATGAAGAGATCAGGGAACCAGCGGCACAGGGAACCATGTCTAGTTCCTGCTTGGCAAAACAAGATGTTTCAGTCAGAAAAACTTGGACCATTTGTCTCTTGTCCTCTGGTAAATGTGATAGGAACTGAGATGACTTCTCCCACAAAAAATAATGCCAATTCATCGTACAGTTGACGAGGCAGAGGGAGAAGGCCCACAAAGATACAATGTCTGTCCAAGATGGATCAGTTTTCTGCCCTCAGTATCTTTGGATGCAGAATTCCTCAAGTAAAAAAGAGAGTTCAGCTGATACTGTTACGGCAGAAAGACGTCAATGACATAGAAACTGACTTAGTCAAAAAGTCCCTTGATGCCTTCAGTGAGACAGGAAACATCAGCTGAGAACTGGTGAAGGGGATCAAAGGGGAGTTCCCTGTCCCCCAATTTGTGGACTGGGCAAGTGGAAGGAGACGTCAAACAGATAGACACAGCATTGGAAGTCGCTCATAAAAATCGACTTGAGCTCCGTTAGGGAAGGAGCGAGGTGCCTGTGGTGAAATGTCAGCAGGCAAAAGCTGAGGAGTGGCCTCAGCAGAAGCAGGTGAAGGTGACCTCTGAGTGAGAAGCCATGCTGGGCGGAAGCTCAAGCACAGGGCAAAAGACAAGACCTTAGAAAGAAAACTGGCATTTCTTGGGCTGTAAAGGCGATGGGGGAGAAATGTACCTTCAGACTTGTGCAAAGTGACCAATTTGCAGAACGCCATGATGCAACGAATGCAATAGCTGGCACAGAATTGGGTCCAACCCGCTCAGCCCATGGGAGCTCAACAGAGGAACTAGGAAGGGCCCCTTCTGAGACATTTGCCATGCCCACATTCCTTCTGCGGGCTCAGATGCCTCTTGTCTGACCATGCCCCGGCTGTGGCTCTTCCCCCTGCCTCCCAAGGTCATTCCCACGTGCCATTACAACCAGGGTCTCTGTATGCTCGAGAGGGACAGACAGCCCGCCTCCAGGCATCCCGATGGAAGAGCAGGCAGACTGGGAAAATAGATCTCAAAGGGGATGCATTCCAAATGGATCCCTCCTGGAATGGCCTGAGCCTGAAGAGGGCTGGCAAGGGGTGGACAGGACACTTTGCGGAGTCCATTAGTGGTGGAACCACCAGCAGCAGGATCTAGAGGAAGGACTCAAGGTTGCCAAAGCAACCTTGTTGGGAGGCAACAGGCTGTTGACCTGTTTTTTCTTTTTGTTCTGATTGGAAATGGGCCTTTGGAAATCTCTGGGCTCTAAATGGGCAGAACCGCTGTGATGCTGCAGAGACCTGAGGTCTTCTGAAGGTGAAGGAGAACTGACCAGTCTCTTGAAGCTGAGGGAGCCACCAACAATTTCTGGGACATGGTTGAAGGCTTAGGTGCACCTGCCCCTTTTAGAACTTGTTCTCATGGGTGGCCCACAAATGGGAGAAACAGTTGGGTCTAGCTTGCTTTGTAAATGCCATGCAAGAATCTACTGTGGGATCTTTTTGGAAGCAAACATGGCACAATCTCTGCTTAACCAGAGGGGACATTTATGTCCACAGCACTGACACTTGTAAAATGGGACCTGACAGGCCTTAATGCCAAGGGCTCGAGTCTGTGACAGAACAGAACTTCTCACAGATTCAGAAAAGGTGAAATAATGAACAACAGATAGATAGATAGATAGATAGATAGATAGATAGATAGATAGATAGATAGATAGATAGATAGATAGATAGATGTAAACAAGCATTAGAATCTCAGCAGAAGGTGCTCAAGGATGAGCAACCTGACCTGGGGAGGTGGTTGAAAGCAAACTGAAGGGGTGCAGCAGGAAGCTGCGCCTGGTCATGTGCAGCATCCTAAAAACCTAAGCTCTGTGCCAGAATCTG